AATGTTTTGCTGAAATGGAGTTGGCAACATATTAAAGGGTGTGGGGTCAAGGAAGGCTTCTTGAAACCTTAATCAAAGAAAAACAAGGAGCCAGAGAAGATCCAGGGCCAGGGTGTGGAGAGGACCTCACCACCAGTGATCATAGTAAGCGCAAAGGCCCTGAGGCAGGCGTGGTCTAGGGAAGACAATGGAGAGAAGTCAGGGAGGTTGCAGGGTTGAAGCCGATGGGCCTGGGGAGGGGCTGGAGGCACGAGTGTTATTCTGAGGGTGCTGGGAGCCCACTGGCTGGGTGGGGGCAGGAGTGGAGGTGGGGGAGTAGCGGCCCAGGACTTGAGTGGAGACCCCGGGTTCACCCAGTGCCTCATTGCAGAGGGCAGAGGGCAGAGGGATGGAGGAGCCAGTAGGGGTGCCTCTGGCCTCACCTCCCCACCCTGTGCCCACAGCAATACTTCCACGCGGGCGGCGTGGGCCTCAAGAAGACCTTCTTGGAGAAGAGCCCGGACCTGCAGTCGCTGCGCTATGCCCTGTCCCTCTACACGCAGGCCACCGACCTGCTCATTAAGACCTTCGTGCAGACGCAGGCTGCCCAGGGTAAGGGGCAGCAGGGTGGCCCCAGGCCAACACTCGCCCGCAGGGGCAGCCCCGCCGCGAGCTGCCATTGGCTCGTCTCCTGTGACATCATGAGCGCGGGAACAGGTCCCTGGCGCTTGGGAACTGCTTGGTCCTGGGCCAAGGAGCAATTCACAGTTTGTGGGAAAATCGATGGACGTCTTAGAGCCAGAAGTGATGGAAAGCTCTGGGGCGGGACCGCTTTGACGGCTAGGACCAAGGTGATTGACAGATTCTGGGGCCGCGCGACCCGAGGCCTGGTTGACCGCTCTGGTGGGCGGACCTCTGTGATTGGGGGGTTGGGGTGAGGGGGAGGAACTAAGGAGCGATTGACAGCTCTGGCATGGGCGGGGCTTGTACCGTCCTGTGGCCAATGAGGGGTTGGCAGCTCCAGGGGAATGGGAGGGACGTCTGGAAGGTCTGGGCTAAGGACTGATTGACAATGAGGGGTTGGCAGCTCCAGGGATGGGCGGGACCCCCAACCTTGAGGGGGTGGGGAGAGAGGAAGTCCCCATGTCTCAAATTCTTTCTAATCTCGCTGTCCCCCTCTGAGCTCACACACCACGGCTCGGGTTGGGGGACAGGACTCCAGGTCCTGGCTCCCCTCCCCGGGGACCCTCCCCTGCTCCAAATTGGCTCTAAGAGCACAAGCCAGGATGAGAAGTTGGGTCACTGCGCCGGCTGAATCCCGGCAGCGGAGGGGGAGCCGGGGGGCGGGGGGGGACAAGGCCCTGCGCCCCCCCCGTGAGGGGCCCCTTCCCCACCCCCGGCGGCCCAGGGCGCTCCCCGGCGTCAGGCCTCTCCGCTCAGCTTCGAGCCCGGTCCACGCTGCTGCTTTCTGGTGTCCTGGTGTCCCCCGGAGTGAGGAGGCTGTCTGTCTGTCCATCTGCCGCTGACGTTTCTCTCTCTCTTGTCTCTCCTTCCTGCCACTCGCCGCCCCTCCGCGCCTCCCCTGCTCCCCCACGAACACTCGCCCTCCATCCTCGCCCCCGGATTGCTCGTCTCTGCCCCGCTTCCCTCTCTCCTCCCCGCCCCCGCGATTAGTCCATGGTGAAAAGGGACTAGGTTTACCCTTAGTGAAGACATTTATCCTGAGAAGGGTACGTGCCTCCGCCGCCCGCCGCCCTGCCTCCCCCGCGCCCGGTGCCCGGTGCCTGGTGCCTGCGCCCTCCCCGCCGCGGCTAGTAAAAGGCCCTCCTTCCGCCTCCAGCCCCGGGCTGGACCGGCCGCGGGGGCCAGGGCGGACAAGGAGGAAGGATGGCTTGCTGGTTCCACGTGGGGAAGGAGAAGGGATTCGAGTCGGCAGCCTAAGCGCAGCTCTTGAGCCAGATCCCAGCTCTGCCGCCCCGTGGCTGGGCGCCCAGGGCACCCGGGGCAAGGTTGGCCCCTGAGCCTCAGTCTTCTCCTCGCTGCGCTGGAGGAAGGCCAGGACCTTAATCCATAGGATGCGATGAGTTAAATTCAGAGCAGTTTCTGGCATTTAATAGCGCCTGGCAATTTTAGTTACTGCTGCTGCTGCTGGTTATTATTATTGTTATTATTATTATTAAGATATCACTTTTCCAAACGTAGAAAACTACCTTTTTTTCAGGCTCTAACTATGAGTCAGCCCTTGTACTAAGAACTTCTCAAGGATTCTTACGAAGATTCCTTCCAAACGCCACACTAAGGGGGTTTATCATTCCATAAACGAGGATACTGAGCCTCAAAGGAGAAGCCACTGGCCCAGGGACCCTTACCCTGCAGGGGGGCAGGGACTTGGGGGCGGGGGCGGCGCGACAGAAGCACAGACAGGCCCGGGAAAGACCCTTCCTCTTGGAGCCAGCAAACCACGGGAAGGGGGCTCCCAGCACCGCCCCCCTCCCCCTTCTTACTAGCTTTGGCCTTGGTCTGACCCTCACCCATCCCAACCACTGTCCGGTTCCCTCCCGGCACCTCAGTCTGGCCCGATTGAGCTTGCAATGAAGCATCAGCCTGGGGTGGGGGTGGGGAGGTGAGGCTGAGCATGTGATTGGGGGAGGGGAGGGGGCGAGAGCCTGAGATGATAAGGAAAGTGGCCTGGGGTAGCAGCGAGGATGGGGGTGCACTCCCCAATACTGGGGTGCTGGGGGTGGGCAGGTTTTTATACCCTTGAGCCTCTAACTTCCTGCCCCTCGCAAGTGACCTGGATCAACCTTGGACTGACCCATTCTCCTTCCCCACCCCCACCCCAACTTTCCTCCTGTTCCTCCCCGTGCATGGGGTGCACCAAGCGTGGAGAGCTTCCTAGGGGGCTTGGGTGGGGCCGGGTAGATGTGCTGGCAGTCACAGGTCCCCAGGCCCCACAGGGTGCCTTTCTCAGAGTCACAGGAGCTTTTAAGCTGCCCTTCAAGGGTCCTCATCAAAACCCGTCAGGATCTTGTGCTGGGCAGACACAGAAGTGCACCTCCCCTCGACTCAAGTAGACAAGGGAATCTGTTGGCTCTGGAACTAAAATATTAGAGGTTGGGTGGACATCAGGAGTAGCTGGATCCAGAGCCTTCAACAACGCCACTGGTCATTGATCTCTGCAGACACCTTTGGGGTGGCCTCTCCCCTCATTAGGCAGCGACAGCCTTGCCAGTTTAGCACCAGACAGAGAGACCCTCTCCTAACAGCCAAAGTCCCAGGGCCAACTCCTACTGGCCCAGCTTGAGTCACATGACCATCCCTCTGCCTATGACTGCAGCCATGGGCAAGGAATGCTCTAATTGGACAGCCATGGTTCATTCAGCCATACCTGAAGTGTGGGATGGAGCCACCCGGTCTGAGGTGAGGGTGGGGGCATCTCTAGATGGAAACTTGGGATTGTCTATTAGAAGAGGAATGGTGTGGAGGCAGGGAAAATAAAAGAGGACGTCCATGTAGCCAGAGCAGAGTTAGCAAGGGGGAGAGTGGAGGGAGGTGAGGCAGCAGAAGGAACCGTGAGGCATATAGGGAGGGACACGGCAGGTCACAAAAAGGACTCGATTACCTCAGTGAGATGGGAGGGTTTGGAGCAAAGGAGGGATGTGATCTGACTTACTAGGGTTGCTCTGGCTGGTGTATTGAGAGAAGCTCAGAGGAGGATGCAAGAAGACAGGCAGGAGTCTACTATATTGTAGTGGCCCAGGGGTGTGATGATGGGGGCTGGGTCAGGATGGAGGTCAGGGAGGTGGGTGAGATTCTGGATGTATTTTGAAGGCAGGGGGAGCTCTTCTAATGTACCAATACTTAGGGAGGAAGTAAAGGGGATCCAGGAGTGAGGTATAGGGTGCCCCAACAGTTTTGAGGATTGACAGAAGAGGAGGAAGTGATAAAAGAGGGTGAGAAGTGACCAGTGTGTAGGATGAGAACTTGGAGAGTGTGGCATTGTTGTAGCCAAGAGGAGAAACTGAGGCACAGAAGCCAGAGCATCAGATTCTGCCACGATGGTGTGTAAGATGAAGACCGAGTTTTGACCTTATGGTGGTCAGTCAAAATAAAAAAGTGGGGGGCAGACACATTAGGCTCAGAGAAGTTAAGCCAGGGGTCCTCAAACTACGGCCCGCGGGCCACATGCAAATACAAATATTGTATTTGTTCCCGTTTTGTTTTTTTTTACTTCAAAATAAGATATGTGCAGTGTGCATAGGAATTTGTTCATAGTTTTTTTTTTTAAACTATAGTCTGGCCCTCCAACGGTCTGAGGGACAGTGAACTGGCCCCCTGTTTAAAAAGTTTGAGGACCCCTGAGTTAAGATCACAGAGCAAGGCAGTGAAAGGCCAGAGGCCTGGGCTCCTGGCCTCCTCAAGATTACCTGCCACTACTGCCAACCCTCCGTGCCTCCCTGTCAGGGCTGTTGACCTGGTGCTGCCAGCACATCGGGGGTAGGGGACAGTCCGGGTCCCTCCGGTGGGTGGGAAAGAAGGGAGCTGACGCCAGCATCCCCCCCTGCCCTCCCAGGCTCCAACGTGGAAGACCCTGTGGGTGAAGTCTCCGTCCACGTTGAGCTCTTCACTCATCCAGGAACCGGGGAACACAAGGTCACAGTGAAAGGTAAACAGCCTGAGGGGGGAAGGGGAGCACCCCAGCCAGGATGTACGAGGTTCTAAAACAGAAGCCAGACTGTCGGCTTAAGCAAGAAAAACTTTTTCATTACGAAGAAAAACTTTCCATATACCTGAAAATTCCAGCCCTGGCCAGCGTGGCTCGGGTTGGTGGGCATCATCCCATGCACGAAAGGTTGTTATTCGATTCCTCGTCAGGGCACATGCCTGGGTTGCAATCTTCGTCCCCGGTAGGGGGCATGCGGCAGGCAGCTGATTGATGTTTCGCTCTCACGTTGATGTTTCTCTCTCTCTCTCTCCCTCTCCCTTTCTCTCTCTCTAAAAAATCAATAAAAAAATCTTTAAAAACAAAAACTGAAAATCCCAGCAGTATACCACCTTCAGGCATGGCTGAATCCAGGGGTGCAAACAGTGTTAACAGGACTCAGTTTCACTTTCTCCGTCTCTCAGCTCCTCTGTCCTTTTATTTTGTTAATTAGCATACAGATCTATTTTAGCCATGGCCTAGAACAGCGATGGCGAACCTTTTGAGCTCGGCGTGTCAGCATTTTGAAAAACCCTAACTTAACTCTGGTGCCGTGTCACATATAGAAATTTTTTGATATTTGCAACCATAGTAAAACAAAGACATATTTTTGATATTTATTTTCTATATTTAAATGCCATTTAACAAAGAAAAATCAACCAAAAAAATGAGTTTGCGTGTCACCTCTGACACGCGTGTCATAGGTTCGCCATCACTGGTCTAGAATAACAGTGGCTTGAACAAGATAGAATACATTTTTTTTCTGAGTTGACTCCAAGGACAATCAGAGCTGACTCTGAGGCATCACAGTGTTGGGGATCCAGGCCCCTGTCATCTTTTGTTGGACTTCTATCCCTAATATGTTTTCCTCCTCTATAGGGTCCCAAATAACTCAGCCCTCACCAGTACCCCAGCCTTCAGCTAGAGGAAAGAGAAGTTTAGGCCCTAAACTTTAGGGCATTTTCCCTTTTAAGCCATAACCATGGCTACACTTAACTACAGTAGCATGCTGGGAAATGTAGTCTTTCGGACAGGCTTTGAAAACCATGGCCCCAAAATGAGGGAACCTGACCAACCTTCTCCTCCACTTCCTCCAATAGTGGTGGCTGCCAATGACCTCAAGTGGCAGACTTCTGGCATTTTCCGGCCGTTCATTGAAGTCAACATCATCGGGCCCCATCTCAGCGACAAGAAACGCAAGTTTGCAACCAAATCCAAGAACAACAGCTGGGCCCCCAAGTACAACGAGAGCTTCCAGTTGTGAGTCTGGGGTGCTCTGGGGAGGGGGTATTTGCTGGGTTAACCTCAGCCCACGAGGCAGGAGGGATGTCTGATGGGCCAGTGGTCCGTGGGCACAGGGATGTGAGAGGTCACGTCCTAGGTAGGGTTGGTGGGAACAGAGGCACCTTTGTGCAGAACTGACCTCAGTGAGGGAACATTGAGAAGGAGTTGACCACCTTGGGGGGCAGGCAGGTGTGTGTCTGGGGGTTGGCATCAAGTGTGATATAACATCATGATGAGGGCTTGTAAAGCGGAGGGGAATCTGAGCAGAGGGGGGTGTTGGTTGGGGCCATTTCTGGGGCTGGAGACTCTGGTGGTTAAGTAGTGTGGGTAGTCATGGTGGGGGGGGGAATGGGGACTCATGGAGTCAGCTGTGAGCCTTGTCAGGTCTGTTGGGGCAGGTTATGTGGAGGAGCCTGCTGTGGGGACAGGAGTGGACTGTGGTTTGGTTTAGGAAGTGGGGATGGGTATCATGAGGTGGGGTGGGGTGGGGT